GGGGGGGGGTCGTACCAACCCACAAAAAAAGGGGGAGGGTCGTACAGACTCGACTAGGATTCCCAACCAATGATGTGCCTTGTGCTGAATTTGAGTGTACCGCTTCTGCTTCAATGACGAGCTCGTTTATTTCTTCCTTTTTGCCTTCTCCTTTTCTATGAAAGCTCTGAAACATATATTTGTTCAAAGGATTGGAAAAGGGAAGCAAGCAAAAATCAACCTACAAATTCAAACTTTTACGCTAAACAGACGAGAAAACCATCTGAGAAAGAACTAAAAAAACGCTCATATGACAGGAAAGTATAATGAAGAGAAACCAACGGAAAATCACCTAGACTGTGCTTGTATGAGTTCAGCATATTAAACATCAGCATCACTACATCAGAGAACAAAGAGGAGAGATGAACGAGAGTGAACTACGTACCATCATAAGTGTGGTGAAGGGTTAGTAAAGAACTGGGAAGAAGAGGCTTTGAATACATATATGATTCGATAGAGTGAAGATGGGAATCAGAAAAATCTTGGGGTCTCGAAATAGTAAAATAGATAACAACAAGCGAAATAGTGAGAAACGGAATGAGAAAAAAATTTGAGGGGTAGATAAGAGATTAAGGTGATCAAGGTGAAAGCTTGAAGATAACAGAGGAGACAGTGGCAGAGAAATAGAGAGCCGGGAGAGTGAACTTGCAGCACTGCTACGTTGAGTGGACTGGAGACTGCTGGAAATGCTGCGTGCGTCATCCCGCTTACAACGGCTATTTCACCGAGGTGCTTGGGACAAGGCTCTACACGAGCCGTCACCATTGTGATATGAGCCAGTATGTACGAAGCAAGCATGAATTAAGTTGTACTCGGTTCACTGCTGCTCTGGCGCCGCGAGTGAGCATTTGGTGATTCGGTTCAGGAGAAGCAGGTTGGCACCAAGGAAATTCACCAGGGAAATTCTACTCCGGTGAGAGGTGAGAGTATCTGCATAGATCATTACTTTTCACCTGGAGTGTGGTTGCGAAAGTAGCAAAAGAACAAAAGAAGTCAGAAGATTACAGTTCATAAAATGATAAAATCAGTGATAAATAATATGAGTAAAATCGGAAATTTGGAGCATAACTTTCAACGGATTGACCGGTACGCAATTGAGCCTTATCGCAGTAATTTACTAACGGCTGAACGAATTGGAATGAGAAAACTACTGCAAAAAAGAAGAAGGTTGAGGTCCACAGTTGGAGATAAGTGTGGCTCTGAAGTAGTGATGCCTCAAATGATGGGTAACTGTCACCACCAAGTTGCTCTCTGATGCAACAGAGATGCAGTCTGCAAAAAAGTGACGAATGTTATCGTGTCAATAGCGAAGAGGCGGATGAGTTCGAAAAATGGCAGGGCGGTTGCATGATCGGTTCCGTGCCAACGCTCTATAACTTGGTGAAGACGCATAAACTTAAACCATCCGAAAGCACAGTGTCGCTCCATCGAGCGAAATCAAGACAAGACCAATTGTGGGATCATGTGGTGTACCAGCGGACAGTATAACTGGCTTTTGGTAAACTTCTTCCACCACTGTTGCGGTAGTCGGAGCACCCATTGTCACCGTTGGTGAGTTCATCTCGGCTCTTCACCAATGTCCAGTACAGACGGAAGCCTTCTACGCGAGCTTTGATGTGGTTACACTGTCTACGAAAATGAATAGTGCGGACGCAGTACAACTTATACTATACAACCTGTCGTGCTTTTTCGTCCTGCAACTCATTTTTCACTGGAAGCCGGTCATTAGGGGCGGAGTCTGGAGGCGGAGTCACTGGAAAAAGGAGGAGCCACTGAACCTATATTGCGCTACAGCGCCCCTCCCATAGAATTTTTTGCCGCGAAACCGGTACAAGGTTGTTCGTCGCGGACCACTCTAACCTCCTGACGCCATATTTTCAACTTCGATACTTGATCGCGGACCGTGTCTTTAACTTTAATCTTCTCGTGAGCGTGGATATTTCGTGCAAACTAACATTATGAACATGAGAGGATGTGGTGGGAGAGTTGGAAATGAATCAAACTGATTGCGCAGTGAATTTTGTGAAGGCTCTACTGCTTCAATAAATAAAGGTACACAGATCGTGACCTTTTCTGACCACTTTTACTCAAGTCGGACGCGCGAATCCAGATCTTCATTTCTCAGCGTTCTTATTAATCGAGCGGTGGAAAACATGATCAAAACCAGGTTTTCTCTCCATGACTGCATTTCGTCCGTTTTCTCACCTGTTCGGTGTTCTCTTAGTATTTGCTTTGTCTAAACAGTCCTTTCTAACGTGACGGAACAACTAGGCAATCACTAGCTAGGGAATGGTCAGTCGGGTCCCAAATTGGAGAAGAGGACTCGAACTGTCATCCGAAAGAAAATCGTCGGACTTGTTAATAGAAGAGTATTTGAGCAAGGTGAAGAAAAGCTGTTAGTGTGCTGGATTGAGGCTGATCTCAATTTACTGTTAGCTTCAGAGAAGTATCCGTGGCTGTTGCGTTTTTCTTTGAAGTTGTTTGCTGAACGGGACTATTCCAAGAGAAAGAAAACTTTTGTCGGCAACGGTAGGGGAGAAGGGTGGGGGGGGAGGGAGATATGTGATGGTGTATCGTGAGTTCCTTGTTGTGGCATTTCGGGAAAGTTGACAGTTTTACAGCTAGTGGACTTGGTACAATACTGTGCACCTTTCTTGCCCTCTCTGCAACGCAGAATTCAGTGAACTCGAAGTCAACATCCCCTGATGTATTCCGGATAGCTTCAACGTACTGAATTCTCCTTTCACCCATAATGCTCAGTAATAGCACGCCAATCTTTGCTATTGGATGACTGAGGATATTCCAGAGGTTCTCTTAGTAGTTCAAGAAAGCCTGCTCATTCGAAAGTTAGCCTAGAACCTTGGAGCAAAAATATCCCGTTACTCAGAGTATTTAGCCGTTATAGATTTGTTTAACGCCATAACGTGTTCATTCTTTTATGAAACTTTGATTTCAGCATCGAAGAAAAGCTGCGACTCGAAGCTGAGGAAATATCACGACTCTTGAGCCCATCGCAAAGCATCGTAACACCTTCGGTATGCTTACTGACGTTGTTCGGATGTACTCTAGTAGTGCTATGTGGAGTTCTACCTGCACTTCTGCTTCCAGCCAATAGCAGCGAGTACCTCAGCACTGGTGGTAAGTTAGCGGAGTAGGCATTTCGTGGCTCGAATATTTAAGACTGAGTTCTGGTTACTTTCTCGTACTTGAATATATCAGAAGGCAAACGGAATCTGAACATGCTTCTATCCTTCGCAGTTGGCAGCCTTCTTGGTGATGTCTTCCTTCATATACTACCTGCGACATGGAATGGCAGTGGAAGTATAGTCTCATTTGAATAACTCGAAAACATTCAGTTCAAAGCTATACTTTCATCAACTGTGTTTCAGGTAGCTTTGACCGCATAGGACTGTGCACAATGAGTGGCCTGTTAGCATGCCTTTGCATAGAAAAACTTTGCAGTACAACGGAGAAAAGTCAGCGCAAAGTTGGTTTGGTGTTGCTTTAGTGGGATTACGATAAAGCAAACAATACTATTCCAGATCTGTGCTATTATGAACCTTGCGGCTAACTTAGTGGACAACTTTACTCATGGCTTAGCAGTTGGTGCGAGTTTCTTGATATCACCTAAGGTGATCTTTATTGAATATCAAATGTTCTCTTCATTTAAATGATCTTTACATTTCTGCCAGACGTCAGAGTCACAAGCTTGAGAACGTTCCAGAATTCTCTTGTACATTAACATACTTGAAGGCACGTTCCATGATAAGCGTAATGAATCCTCGAAAAGGTGTGCGGCTGCGCCTCATAGTTTGTAACATTTCGATATGTCGGGGGCGGCGAGCGCAGCGCGGCACGAGCTCGCGTTCGCCTGCCTTGTTTTACCAATGGTGATACCCGAGTGCGGCCGTGGGAATGCTTTGAGCGTGAAAAATTGGCTCGTTACTGCAGCTGCAGTCACATTCATCTGGCACATGGCAAGAACCAGAAGCTAGGAGTGGTATTTGGATTCATGCGCTTCAGGATGCGATAGTGACAAAATTTAGACGTGTACTTTTAAAATTACTGAGCTCTCAAGAGGTGTCTCCGTTGATGACAGACACCTCTTAAATCATGTGCCCACAGGTTCGGGCTGTTAGCTCACGTTCCCTAGATAAATTGAAAAAAGGATGAAGCTTCGCCGTTGATCAATCCCTTTGTGGGATGCGGCACGCATTCTACTTCCATTCAGAATCGTAGTGGCTTATTGAATGCGATGTGGCCTATACAATGACTTGCGGTGGCCAGCCGATGTACAGAGATCAGTGCATATCCTCTTAGTCGAATCGGGAAACAATTTACCGTCCCCAGAATCTCCAGATTCAATTCCGGACCTGGGCGAAGTAAGCGTGCCACTTGCCACTAGGCCACCTCCACCTATTTATTAGATATGCGACAAGAATATTGAGAAAAATCTGTCAGGGTTGTAAAAGTAGCGGTTTATCGAAAGGCTGCTGCACGCGTCACAGGAAAGGGAATCTCCATGCTGATTCCGAGCGGTCGAGGGATCGTAAATGCAACCAGTACAAGTTCCTGTCATGTTTCCTGGAAAGGAGCAGACTGAAAGAACCTGAGGACAATAGGACCACTGAAGAGTTATGAATCGGAGCATATCCTAATTAGAGTGTTCGCCACTGCTACGGTCTCAGTATGAGATCATCAGTTTAAAAGACCACATGGGTAGCCTCCACAGCCCTATCATTAGCAGAAATCAAGGTTGTATGATAATGTGTATGAGTTCGTCTAACGCTGATTGTCGTGTGCACCTTATGGAGCTTACCACCAACAGGCTTTCTACAGTCTGGACCTCTAACCGCACCTTTGAGCTGGCATTTACCTCTCCAAAAATCTTTACGCAGAATACAGCATGGGGTCATTCAACTCCCAAAACACACCTCATTGTTAGTGTTACCCATGAAAATAGAGATTCACCATCATGTACTGCTTACTATCTGTCATCCACCATTAACAATCCCGTCACATCTCGTTTATTACCTAGTGGATCATCATCCTACTTCGGCTGTGACCGGAGCTATAAATTGCGAGCCTCCCATATAACGCCGTTTGATAAAACAAGGTTTTCAACGAGTAAGTTTGAAAACAGTGTCTCTCTTGCATACATTATTATCTTGGAATTAATCGTTCATCATTGGTGCAATGAGGGCTGTAAATTTCGTGACAAACGCACGGACACAGCCTTGGGCAATCATATTTAGTAAATAATATATAGTGAAATGTTTATTTTCCTGCAAATCCGTTGAAGCAAGGCTTCCGAAACCTAGGCGGAAGACATTCGTCTTTCAGTTTGGGATGATGACGACGTTCGCTATTCTTGTGCACGAAATCCCGCACGAAGTGAGCGACTTTGCAATCCTGCTCCGAGCTGACTTCAATCGAATGCAAGCAGTCAAAGCTCAGGTAGATTTTCAGTTTTTTTACTGGAAGTGGGCAAGTTTGTACCCAACGTTGTTGTTAAAGAAGGTGATAGTGGCGGCAGCATATCTATCTCCCTTACCCCGTACAATTCTCAAACTCGTCGGAGCCAGAGCGCAGACGACCTCAGTCGCCGCGGAGTAGTCTCGTAAAACAAGCATCGAGTCGCGCTTGGCCTCCCCACTCCGCACTCCCCTCTCCGAAAGAATCATGTTGGCCCAGTGACCCTACCATTCAACAATAAACTACCGCTTCACAAGCAAATTATGTACCGCTTTCGTGTCAAAATTTGTTGTGTTTATTGACGTCTTCCGGGCCATTCAGCTTGTCACAGCTTCGGGAGGGATTATTGGTGCAGTTGTTGCTTTATGGATCAACAATGATTCCATGCAGTCAGCCGACTGGATTCTTGCTTTTACTGCCGGAGGATTCATAAATATCGCTCTCGCCCAAATCCTTCCGGAGCTCAATGAAGAAAGGGATCGGAGGTGATACGTTGTTCAACATATACTACCATTTTTAATTCCTTTGTGAAGTATTGGGTATATTAGCCGCCATGTCATCAAATTTGTTTTTTTTAGGCAGAACCTCAAGCAAGTCGCTATGATGTTCTTGGGTCTATTCGTTATGATTGCCATCAGCAGTTTGAAAATTATCTGATCACGGACTGCCATTTTCCACATCGCACACATTCTGCCTTTCTTCTCGAACAACTCGCCAGAAGTTATTTTTCAATTCGATCAATGCATATCCATGGGTCAATTGGTATAGGTGATGAGGTTTCATCTGATGACTGCATAAACGAGTTAACATGCTCCTCCTTTGAAATCATGCAAAACTAGTCCGTGATAACAATTGTGTCTGAGACGACATATCAAATGTATATAAATTATTACAACAGTCACGGTGTGAATATGAAAGAGATTTGTGGACATTCTGGCTTCCCCAAAAGATACATATGCTCAGGAGCAATCAGCAGGAGAATCGAACCGCCGGAAAATAACCGCAATAAATTTGAGTGTAGTAGGGACCTATCACATGTAAAGAATAGATTAGTGATGGTTGTTGGCAAAAGTAGGCAACGTTTTGACTGGAAAGTGAACAAGTCGTGAAAGGAGTATTTAGACGATAATAACCGGTGACGGGCAAAGGAAAAGATTTCTTGCTCTGGTTTCTTGCAGGTTATATTAGGTACATCATCGAGCTTTTACCGTACATGACCTCGCTCTTCACAGGTTGCTGTGTGATATTGTTTCAGGGAAATGAGCATTGCGAACTTTACAGTTATATTCACTTTGTCAAGGTTATTAGGTACCAGTCGGATCGCCCGGCTGTCGCCGGGCGCTCCTCCTTCTGTGACATGGCCCGGCTTCGCCGGGCCATGCGGATTTGCCGCGTGCTAAGTTAAGGATCGTTGACCAACCACACTGTTCAAAGGAATCTTCTGCATCAGCCAAGAACTGAAAAGCAGCGCTTGTTCCGTCAAGGCGCAGAAGCAGCCCCCCGCATCACAGAAGGAGGAAAGCCGGCCTTAGCCAGCGATCCGACTGGTACGTTCATAACCTACACGGAAATAGTGCAGCCTGTTTGGACAGCCACTGAAGCAGCCTATAATTTATGCAATCTTCTTCCTAAAGCGTCTTGCTTTGGAATGCACTCCCGCATTCAGCAGTGGAACCCTTTAAATGGCCCTCACTAAGGTTGTTGATGGAAGATAATTGTGGTAAGAGTGATTATTGCTGCTGTTCATAACATCTCTGTAAACAAACCACATGCATTTGGAATAGAGCTGGCTTAGCGGTCGTACATGATGTCGTTACTAATAAGCAGTGAGGAATGAGTTCTGTTGGAATCACTGAGATCGTTATACTTGAGTCATATCGATCGCATTGTTGTTGTGAGCGGTGAAGCGGATTTTCCATGTTACCTTGTCACTTTTAGCTCCTATCACTTCCGTACCCGCCAATAATATTCCCGTCCCGTATCACTATCATATCACCCTATATCGGATCCGAGGTCCCACTGTTGCTGTAACCTGCGCTTACGAATTTGATGACCCTCCCCTTCCGAGGCCCCTTATCGGATCTTATCAACTGTTATCACTTTCTGTCACCCGCCAATAATGTTCCCGTCCCACACCCTATATCACCTCTCGGATCCAAGGACCCACTGTTCCTGTGAGCCGCACTATGAATTTGGTAGTCCTTCCCTTCTAATGCCCATTATCAGATCTTATCAGCTGATATCACATCCTGTCACCTACCAATGATGTTTTCGTCCCACTCCCTATTTCACTGCTCGGAACCACCGTTCCACTGCTGCTGTGGCCCGCACTATGGACTGGGTGACCATCCCCTTTGAACGCCTCTTATCGAATCTTATCAACTGATATCACATCCTGTCACCCACCAATGGTGTTCCCGTCACACCCCCTCCATCACTTCCTAGAATCAACGTTTCTCTGCCGCTGGGACAGGTGTTATGAATTTCGTGACACACACACACGCACGCACGCACACACACACACACACACACACACACACACACACACACACACACACACACACACACACACACACACACACACACACACACACACACACTTAGCGGATTATATATTGTAGGATAAGACTTCACTGGAAATGGCCTGATGTTTCGACAGGGTCGTCGTAATCAGAGGCCTGAAAATAGCTTAAAGACAATTCCCGCGATCAAGTATTGCGGGCAATTGTACTCTGTCATGCACCAGTATTCCATAGTTAGCTTCTCAGTAGAAAAAGAAGCAGAAAAATCTTCGGGAACACCTTGAACCAAACCTACCTTTAGCAGTGGGGGCGGGGCCTGGACGAGTGTGCCGGGCGTGGCTGCCAGAATTCGATGCGGCAGCCGCAATTGCGTCCCGACTTTCGAAATAGGATAATTTTCGAATTCGAATAGGAAATAGGAAACTGCGGAAACAGCTACGCCCTGAATCGACGGTTGTCGGAGAGGAGAGCTCCCGTTTAATCCATCACTTGCGTGTCGAGTATTTCCGGGCATCGATGTCTCGAAATTCCGGGCATCGATGTCTCGATAAAACGTGTTCCACTGAACTTACAGGGTTTTTTCTGTCAGAGTGGAGCTGGGGAGAACAGAGGAGCTCTTCTCAGTATTCATGCTGTTCTGTTATATTCTCTCCTGCTACGCGCGATGCGGATGCTCTAAGCAACAAGCGGGAGAAACAGACTTTCACGTGATACTCATCTCCCCGTGCTTTTTCTTCAATCCTCCTTCACTGCCTTCTTTAGTTTCTTGCCTCTCTCTTATCCTATGTATGCTTTTCTAAGAATTTGCGCTTCCAGCCAGCTATAAACAGCTATAAACCAACTTTGGCTAAGTGCCAGAAGGGCCGCGCACGAGACGCGCCGCGCGGGCGTTAAAGGGACGGAAGCAGTTCGGGACCAGACGCCTCGTCCACCTACCGTCTCCGTGAGCCTAGCGAGCCTTGTCGAAATTGCGATAACTTCCTCATCGCGCGCCATTGATGGATAAAAGCGGGATCATCTTCATCAAGGCGCAGAGGGTTCCAGAAGGCGCGAAGTCATTTTGAAGGCCTCTCGAGCGCGGATACTGTCTTTAAGGTTCAGATGTTCTACCCTCTACACGGACAAACACCTCGGCACCCTAGCAACCTAAATATGAGAAACGAACTTACCAGTCCGCCACCACATGAGCGGAGCGATCAGGGCACCTCATCGTTGTGATCGTCACAAGAGGGGGGTCGTATTTGACCTCGAGGGGGGAGGGGGTCGTAAGCGCGGGGACCTTTCTGGAGGGAGGGTGCAGCGATACCCAGATATCTTTAGGTTCAATGATGAAAGACTTATCCATGTGAAAACCCCTGAAGTGACCCACACAAGACAGAAGCAACCTGCCAGCGCAGAAGTGGGGAACGGGCGATGACAGGAAATACGATGGCCGCCCACAACGACGTCATGAATTAATAAAAAAAAGGTAAAGGATAAAGTCTCCGCCGTTGATCAACCCCCTTTGTGGGATGCGGCACGCATTCTACTCCCATTCGGGATCGCAGCGGCTTACTGAACGGGATGTGCCCTATACAATGACTTGCAGTGGCCAGCCGTACAAGCTGTACAAGCCAGTATTTTATTTTCCCAGACGAATATGGTACCATGTTACCGTAGAAGGCTTGGTTGGCCTGAGCGAAGGTCGACCCGGGAACTGAACCCGGCATCGCGCGAGCGGTAACTTGTCACTTGTCACTACACCACCTCCGCGCCAATGAATATCCGCCATGAATCAATAAACAGATGAAAATACACTTCCGGACCTTTCTATCGCAGAAGCACATCTACTTGCACGGAGGAAGCCCTTTCTAGAAGTTGCACCTTCCCAATAGCTCTGCGTGAAAGCGCTATGCATGGCACATTGCAGAGGCCATGCCAATTGGCGCCCGGTTACCTATTCTCTGGTATCCTTGGCAAAACATGCGTTTTAGAAGCATACCAAAGTCTTTTAGTCCAACTGGAGGTTTTATGGCGTCGGAGGGGTTGATTTTGGTGTCGTGGGGCAGTAATGACGCTGTGATCACAACGGGGGATATTTTTCGAGTAGCAGGCCTAGGGATAAAATAAAAGTCTTGCTGGAAAATAGAAAGCACCTAGCAGTTCACACCGTTTTTCTTTTTACGAAAAGCGCTGTATGAAGCTTCCCATTGATGTTCAAAGCGTAGCCACTTGTGGTTTACCCCCCCCCCCCCCCATGATCACAAGAGGATCACAACGGAGGAAATTTCTTAAAGGATATTTTTTGAAATCGCTCAAAATCAGGTAACAAGTGCCAACCTAGTTCCCCTCATCCTGCTTTCCTCTCTCCGAAAGCTTTACTCTCAAAGAAGTTATGGGTGTTCAAGTGAGGGGTACTTCTCGAGTGTTTGGCTTAAAACTGGCTCCGGGTCGTAAAATAGCTCGCTGCAGCCCCTTTGCATTAGCGAATGACCGCTCCAGTTGACCTCGGGTTGGCTAAAAGATTTTGGTATGCTTCTAAAACGCATGTTTTTGCCAAGGATACCAGAGAATAGGTAACTGGGCCCAATTGGCATGGCCTCTGCAATGTGCCATGCATAGCGCTTTCACGCAGAGCTATTGGGAAGGTGCAACTTAGGGCTTCCTCTGTGCAACAACTAATATTCAAATGCTATTTACTAGTTCTGTCTCCTATGTCTACAGGTTAGTTATTTTTTTCTTGTCGTTCGCTTCTAATGTTTTGTTGTCTTTCGTTTTTTAGCTTTTCTTATTAGTTCTGAAAATTTGCTTATAGTGGTACTTCGTCCTCTTGAGCACGAATATCACTCCCATTTGCCTGAAACGTTTCGTCGATTTTGGTGATTTAGTAGGGTACCTTGGCGCCCATAACCACCAAAATCGATTACAACGTGAATACGGAAGTTATTTGACATCCTGATCACGAATATGACATTTATTCTTGGCGCCGGCCTTAACGTAGGACGCTACGGTAATCTGCGATTTGCTAAGACTGAGCCTGGCCTGAGGGGAATCTTCCCTTTCCCCAGCGCTGGTATGGAGAAATGATGTCATGCTCGTGGTCAGGACATCGAATAACGTCTACAGA